CGCTCGGCGTGCCGGCGCGCTCGGCTGACGCCAGGGCCTTGTCCGAGCTCGACGCCGCGTTGCCCCTGCGGCACCACTCCATGCGCTGATTGACCTTCTCGGGGGCGCGGTCGAAGACGTCGGCCACGCTGAGAGCGCCCTCGCCGGCTCGCGGAGGAGCTGGAGAGGCGCGGGAATCTCGGGGAGGGCCTTGCCGATGCGCTCGCCATGGCAGTCAAAGCTGGGGCGGGCGACCCTGTCGGGGCCGAGCACGACGTCTTGTTCCTGGCAGGCGAGACCCTTCGAGCGGAAACTCGGCATGGGCCAGAAGAGCTTCTCGGGTGGATCGCCGCGTTCTTCAAAGATGTCGCGCAAGTATTTGCTGCCCTCGACGTGCGTCTCGCGAAGAAGGTCGACTGCCAGCTCGGCGCGCCCCGTCTTCCTCGTTGAAGATGCCCGCGCGCGCGATCACCTTGAGGCCCCCGCCCCTGCAAATCATCGAGGATGGCCAGCTGCGCGCTCGAGGGCCAGAGCGCGTTCTCGGCCTCGAAACAACGCGCTGTCATCCTCGCGGCGTCGGCGCCATGAGCGCTAGCTTTGGCGCTGCCGCGTCGCGTCTCGGCGACGCTGGCCTCGCCGGCGATGGGGCCGAGCTTCTCGAGCACCTTCTCGTTCTGGGCGGCGATCTTCTCCCTCTGCTTGGCGATCTGCTGCGGGGCCTCGAAGGCTTGCTCCTCGATTGGCCTGGGGGCCGCCGTTGCTGGCGGCTTGGTAGAGCTTGGGCCTGCGCGGGGCTGCGTCGAAGTCGGCGGCTGCGGTGGCTCGGTGGAGCCTGGGCCTCGAACGGCCGCGGGGGGGGGTCGCTGCGGGGAGGGGGGGGGGGGGGGGGGAAGGGCCGAACGTTCGTGCTGTGCAGAGTGCAAATGGCGAGACTCTGGTGGCCCTGCCAAACGTTCGTGACTGGGCAAAGCTGAAATTGCGAGAATCCGATGGCCCTGCCGCGCGTCCCTGACTCGAGGGGGAAAGGGGGGGGGGCGAGATGGCGAAAGTCCGATGGCCCTACTACGCGCTCGCGACTTGGGAAAACTGATATATAGAATAGCACGGTCCTGCCACGCGTTCCTGACCCGGGATGGGCCGGGAAAAGGGAAAATCCCGTGGCCGGGCCGCGCGTTCGTAACTTGGGAAAGCTGAAACGGCGAACGTGTGGAAAAAATCATATTAACTTCACAATCCATCGGTCGCCATCAAGGGTTCAGCTGGTTGCCAACCAACATGGCGACTCCTCCGTTGTGGACCATGCAGGACTCGCCACGCGCGCGTCCGCGCGCGCGCCTGATCGGGCGACGCGCGCGCGGCCGTGTCACCCGACATCCCGCTGGCCACCGTTTAAGATTCACACTTGCTGCCAGGCCAACATGGCGAATTTCCCATTGTGGACAATGAATACCCTTCAAGGTTTCATGTGAACTGCCAGGCTAACATCACGACTCTTTAATTGTTGGAAGCGTCAAGAAAAACATAACTTCGCAAACCGATAGGTCACCGCGGCCCCGCCGCGCGCTCCTGGGAAGGGCCGAGAAAGCGCGAGCCCCATAGCGCTGCCGCACGTTCGTGACCTTGGAAAATTGAAACGATAAGAATGCCATAGCCCTGCCGCACGTTCGCGACTTGCGAAGGCTGAAACGGCGAAACCACCAACTGCCATGACCCGCGTTTTTGATGATGCTGCTAGTCACCCAAAAAGAGATAGCCACTTCGATTCGCGGCCATAACCCGAAATAATGAATTTCGACTTTGCCGCCCCTCTCCCCCGGGCAAATCTGCGTCGGCTAGGGGGGGGGGGGGGGTAAAATCTCAAGTCTTCAGAGAGGGTCACCCTTATGATCCGGGGGTTGGGGTTGTCGCGCCTCGCTCTTCCCGTCGGCGTTCGATCCTCTTTGGCCTGAGCAGATCATTCAAAGCCGCGCCATGATGCATCTTGTCTGCCCCCCCTCGCGCGGCCGCATCCGCGGCTCTGGGCGCAGCGCCGCGCCGCGCAGCGCCTTGGAGGATGAAGAGGGAACGCCGCGCACCCAGGGCAACCAGGGCACCACTTTGACCCATAGATTTGCCCGGCCCCCGCGGAAGACCCACGCCCTCATAGCGACCGCGCATGCCCGCCAGCAGTGGACGGTGCGTGAAACAAATGCAGCAGCGTGGCGAGACTTGCTCGGGCCCCAGGGGCGAACGACCCAGCTTGACTGCGGCGCGCATGGAACGACGCCTCCACGAGATCGCAGTGTCGCGCGCCGACCCTCACTCGTCGTAGCCGGTCATGTCTGCGAAGTGCGCCCCTTCAAAGCACACGTCGGTCATGCAGTCTTGATTGGGGTGGCAGTCTTAGACTTCTTCGCACCGAGCTCCTTGGCCACCTCAGTCTTGCCAATCATGCATCAAGGTCGGGCAGGTTCGCGGGCGTCACAAGGGCCCTGGCGTGGAAGAGCATCTCCTCTTGCGAGTCACCCGTGGTGCCGATGCGGCCGCGGATCGCTGGCCTGGTGTCGTCGTCAAGCACGCCGTTGTCATTCCCACGGTGACCGTCTTGGTCGGGCTGCATGCCCATGGTGATCATCGCGTTGATGTAATCGCCCTCGCCTGGCTCGTTCCAGCGGTTGATCTCCAGGTGGGCATTGAGCGGCAAGTCCACGTGCGCGACGTGCACAATCTTGCCATTGCGGCACGACGGCATCACCTGCCCGCTGGTGCCGGTCACAACCTTGATCATCGGGTCCTCTTTATCCCACGCGTCCGGAAACCCCTGGATGATGGAATGTCGTTGGAGGTCGCCCTGAAGGAAGAGAAGCGGAGGATTTTATTTTTGCCGTCCTTGCCCTCCAGGAAGGAGCCACCGATCGCAATGTCCTTCAGGACGAAAAACCCGTTGGACACTGGAATCGGCACGCAGCGGCCCTGCATCCAGACGGCGCTGCTATTCACAGTCCTGTGGCTACTCGCCCTGGGAGTGAAGGGCTTGCTGACTGTCCGTCAAATGTCAGCACGCGCGGTTACCAAAGATCCTGCAGTGTTTCTGGGACCCCTGCGGGGCGGCGCCGGAGTGGGGTTCTCGCATTCGGGGGTGCCCGTGATGCAGATGCCCTTCTCATGAGAGTCGTCGAAACCACACTCATCGCCGCATTGCTTCCCATCGCGGGCACAATTCCACATATCGATGCAACACTCGTTCGGCGGCGGCGTAGGCACGACATCCAGAGGCGGCGCGGTGATGACGGCAGGGGTCGTTGTGGTCGTGGTCGTGGTGGTCGTGGTCCCCGCGAAGAGGAGGAGAGGCGTCAAGAGCACCTGCGGGAAACAACACAGCCACTACGGGCTGCACCCCGCCGCAGGGATCGGCACAACGCCGAAGGTGCCAGCGCCCTGGCCCACGTACTGATGTGTGGTCGCGGCGATCTAGTCTCACCCGGCGCCCACGCACGACGTCATCGTTCCGCCGATGCCCCCGCGAGCAACTCCTCACCCGTCCGCGCCGCAGCCCCTGCCGCCGGCTGGGCCCCCGCAGCACACCTCGCTCCCGACAGCGTCGCCCATCCCGGGATAGGCCCATTGCCCATGAGCGCGCCGCCGCCCGCGCCACTGGGTAGGCCCCGCTGCTTGTTCGGCGCCGCCCGCGCCGCCGGCGTAAGTAGACCCTGCTGCCCATGCGCGCGCCGCCCGCGTGGCACCGGCGAAGGCCCCGCGGAAGCCCGCAACGAACCCCCCGCGCGGGCCCGCAACCATGAAAGATCCGCCACGTGCGCCAACGAAGCTCATCGTTGCCCGGGTCATGCGGCGGGTCTGGTCCAACTCCGGTGCCGAAAAATATGGAGCCAAAGTGGCAATGTGAAGCCAATGTGGATACATACATTGGTATTGCCAATTCGCGAGAACAGACAACCGAAATTTAATTTGACCAGATCGTGCATCAGAACAGATCAGCAAGACAAGACAAACACACATGACACAATGCCTGACCATGTTCAATTACGCCGCAGTCAACTAGCCGACATTATAGGTGATTGAACGTGAGACCCCGAAACAACTAAGCGAGTCATATGTCGCAAGATGGGCAAAAGGGGAACGCGAGGCGTTTGCAACTTCACGGCCCATTTTCTGGACTGGCTGTCGTTCGCTCGTTTGTCAAACTCAGACTACGGATAAGCAATCACTTCCGCCTGATAATTCGCACCACGCTCTGGGAACAGAAGAAGTGGGAAAAACCACGTGAACAGACATATGACTGCCGCCGACGAATGCAAGAAACAAAAACCGGGCTGTACAATACTGGATGTCCTGGTCAGGCCACTCTATCTCCTTGCCCACTGCCATGTTGCAGCACAACCTTGACACAGCACCGAGAAACGCTGCGTGTTCGCAATCCAGGTGGCCTGGCCGTTTTCGAGTAAGGCTCGGACAAGGCCGCATACGTTTTGGGATGCACGGACGGCGACCGGGGGCCAACAACAATCACCCCGCTGCAGGCACAACAAACTCATCCACCTGGGATCTTTCATACACCTGTCCAAGCGCACCTCGGACGAATCATATATAATCATCTTGCCACGCTCCGCTCAAAACTGGTCCTCGCCCTCTTCTCAGACGTTCTCCTCCAACCCCCTCCCCCGACCCAACAAGCGTCACCTTCCTCCTCCTAGAGGTGCCACCTGGGCGGGCTCCTGAACTGGTCCTCGCACCCCACTGGAAGTCTCTGGACCCCTCCTCCTCAGCCTCCCAGCCCCTGGATGTCCATCCCGCCTGCCCTTCGCGCCTCCGCGCCGCGCCCCAGGGAGGAAGGCGACTCTCTCTGGCGCAGACCGCGACCAGGCAGGATACGCCGCATCATACGTGAGCCCGAGCTCCAGGAGAAGAACCCAGATCCTGGAAGGACAGAGGAACGGTTAGGGGGGAAGGGTGCGGAGGATGAGGAGGGGGGGGGTACGTGGAGACCGCCAGCCATGGCCCGTGCCCGCATTCAATAGCATCGCCTCGTGTGTCGACTGCGTGTCGACCAAGCGGGCCGTGTCGATCCGCAGGAGGTGGCTCTTGAACTCCACGCTGCCTTGCACCACGGAGAGGCGCACTGACCAGTTCGCCGCAGAGCAGACTACGAAACTACACAACCACAACGCACAACGGGTCGTTCAGAAAGACGCCCTGAATGAGCCCTGGGACCGCTCTCCGGAAGCCATTACCAAGCTTTTCTCTTGGGACCCTCTCTGCAGCCTCTTCGGGGTATCTTTGGGAAGCTCCGTGCCCACTCGGAGCCGTCTTGTGGCGATCTTGAAACTTAATGGAAGCAATTCGATGGCTATATTTTCCCAGCTTGGGCTGTCTTGTGCCACCTGGGATGTCATCCTGAGCTATCTGGCGCCCTCTTGGACGCCTGAAATCGTCGCGAAGCCCTGGCCCCGATCCCATGGAAGGGGGGAGGGGGGAGGGCAAGCTAGGTGCGCTCGCGTCATATCTGACATCCTACCCCTCCCTCCCATCCCTTACCATGGCGCAGATCCCCTCTCTACTCGCACAGTCGGATGTCGAGCAGAGCAATGATCCCGAAAGGGTACGCGATGCAGTGTAGAGCACGGCATGGCATGGCGTAGAAGAGCACCGCGAGGCGTAGTATCAACCTAGCATTGCATTGCATGCCGTGGCATGGCACGGGAAATGACGCCAGCGCTGCAGCGGGGGCACGAGTCGAAACGAGCGGAAGCGCGGAAATGAGGCCAGCGATGCAGCGGGAGCACGAGTCGAAACGAGCGGAAGCACGGAAATGAGGCCAGCGCTGCAGCGGGGGCACGATTCGGAACGAGCGGGGCCCGAAAATGAGGCCGGCGCCTCAGCGAGAGCAGCATTTTGGAACAAAAAAAATGCAGGCGAAAACCCAACTCCGGGGAAACCTGTGTAAACAACAGTACGCGGGGGGGGGGGGTCGGACACTTTCAAACCGTCATCAGGGGAAGAGGGAGAGTAGTATTCATATGGAGTCATTGTGGAGGAGGAGGGGGAGGAGGGAGGAGGAGGAGGAGGAGGAGGAGGAGGAGGAGGAGGAGGAGGAGGAGGAGGAGGGGAGGGGGAGCGGGAGGGGGAGGGGGAGGAGGAGGAGGAGGAGGAGGAGGAGGAGGAGGAGGAGGAGGAGGAGGAGGAGTAATTGTGGAGGGGTCAAGCTACCCCGCCACAGGACGGCCGTCTCGCTCACTCCCACCAGCCCTCCCACCACGGACGCAGCGCCAGCGAGGTCCGTCGCGCGTGCCAGGGCGCCCCCAGCAGCCCTGTCACATAACAGGGCAAGATGATCGCGGGGCGCCCGCGCACGGTCACATATTTTGCCGCGGCTTGCGCTCTGCATCGGTTTTTGGTAGGGATGGTGTGCTTGCGCGCACCAAGCAATCTGCTGGACCCCCCGGCAGTCCCTGTCAACTGATAATGCTAGTGGTCGCGGGGCTCCCGAACACGAAACCCGAGGTCACAACGTGCATCTAGTGGCCTTCAGCTCTCGGCCCATCCCTCCACCGTGCGTGGGTTGTAGGTCAGAGGCCTCTGGGATGCCTGTGGGGATCTCTTGAGAGGCCTCTCGGAAGCCTCGTGGATTTGGTTTTGGGGTGTCTCGGGGGCCTCTCGGGGGTCTCTCGGGGGCCTCTTTGGGCCTCTTGGGGGGCCTCCCAGAGTCTGTAAGAGGCCTCTTGGGGGCCGCCAGTCTCGGGGCCATCTTGGGGCGAAGGGCGCGAAATGTCGGTTCGTGCTTCCCCGCTGGGGCCTCTCTTGGGCCCCCTTAGGACCATATTAGGCCTTCTTGGGAACCTCTTGGGTTGTCTTCGGGCCATCTTGGGCCGCCTGGGGGTGCTCTTGGAGGCCTTTTTAGGCGATCTTGGGGGCCTCCGAAAAGGCGAGACCTCTAACATGTCTAAATATTTCTAGCATATGGGGGCCCTCTTGGGCCAATGGAGGGCCTCTTGGAGCCCTCTTGGTGCGTCTTGGGGGCCTGCGGGTCATTTTGGGCGTCGTGGAACGATACTTTGGCGACTCGGGGCCATACTGGACCGTGATAAGGGTCCTCTTGGCGTCACATGGGTCCTCTGGTTTGGAAAAGTCATGCGAGGAAGCCCCAGAGCGCGCGGGACCGCCAAGAAGATTTGAGAATTTGGGTTCCCTGCCCCTAGTCAGAGAACATGCCAATATTAAAAACAGAGTGAAGAGAACTCTGGAAGCCTGGGGAACACTTCACTTCGTGCCTCGAGGCACGGTGACGGATGTTGTATCGTTTTCTGACAGGGGTGGTCGGAGGTGCTCGGCATTTGCCATCGGCAGGGGCCGGCAGAGTGCTGGATGGGATGCTTACTAATGTTAGGTCGGGCATGCCCCCCTACAGGGGGATTAAGACGAGCAATCGAAAATACTCAAACAAAAATCGAGACGAAAATACTCAGAAATCGTCCCCAGACTATTTTTAAAACTAGTTTTGAATATTCCTCCTGTAGAGGGACAGGCCCGACTTAATACTAATGAGGAGCAATGGTGCCCCCCTCGCCGAGGGGGGGAAAGGGGGTGTGGAAGAGCAAGCTCGTTAAACCACTTGCGCCCAGAGGGCCCAAATCGCTCAAGAACCCAACGGTTTCAACGTTGTCTTCTTCGGCGTTTCGGCACTGGGCGGAGGGGGGGGGGGGGGCGGGGGGGTGTCTGGCTCTGGACCTCTGCTGAATGCGACTGCTTGCAGCAGTGCGCCCTGCAGGGGGAGACTCCACCTGCTTGAAGCCGGCGCCAGAAGCAGCCACGATCTGCTCCCTGGGGGGGGGTGGCGAGGGCCCGCACCGATCGGCAAAACACATGAATAAGAGGACGATCGCTTGAGCAATTACCTTCTCGCCCGTTTGCCTCCGATGGGCCTCTGGGGCCTCCCAGATGGCTCCAAGATCGCCCACTGAAGGCCCCCAGCCCCCCCCCCCCACCCGAGCGCACCAAGGGGGGCACAAGAGGAAAACATTTGGACTCCGACGGGGCGAGGCGAAGTTTAGGTCGGGCATGTCCCCCTAAAGGCAGACTTTCGACGAATAGTATAGAATAGTCAAACAATGCTCCAGAATGATCAAGGATAATCAAGAAATCGCCCCCAGACTATGTTTTACCAATTGTTTGACATTCCTCCTGTAGAGGGACGTGCCCGACTGACGGCTAAGTGCAGCCAGACTTTATTGGAGAGGACACGCGAGAGAACACAAGACCCCTCCGAAGGCTACATTGCCACAGGGTAAACATGCACGACTCTTTAAAGACAGGACGCAAGGGTACCCTTGTCTTGGCAGGGTCGACCTACTAGTCAAGGTCGACTGTTAAGGAACCCTCCATGTTGGATCGGTGTCCTTCGAGAGAAGCCCCCCCAACAGGGCGCTGGGAAAGCCTCGAGAGGGCCCTAGCGAGCCCCCCAACGCTCACCAATGTAATTACACGCGCGCGTACCCCAAGATCGCAGATCACATCCATGTCTTCCACGCGGGCAAGAACTCGATAGCAACATGTCCTCGAACCTCTCCTAGTTGCTGTAGCAACTCTTCTTGTGACGTTCTTTTACTCGGCGTTTCGGCGTTGGGCGGAAGGGGGGGGGAGGGAGGGGGTCCTGGCTCCAGACCTCTGCTTAACTCGGCTGCTTCCAACAATGCGTTTTATGGGGCAGACTCCACCTGCTCGAAACAGCCGCCAAAAAAAAGCCAAGCCATACTCCATTGGAGGGGAGGGGAGAAGGGGTGCGAGGGCCCGCGCCGATGGGCGAAACAATTGATAAGAAGACGACGACCTTCTTCGTATTATGTTTCCTCGTTTCCGAGCCGCGCCCTGACTTGAAATGACAGCGCGAGGCCACCCGACGGCAGCTAAAAGGCGGCAGGGGCAGGGTGCCTCAGCTGGGACCGACCGTCCCGGCAGTCCTGTAGGCCTACCACGAAATGTTCTTAGACCCCCAAATATTCGAATGACAAAAACAATGTTCTTAGAACAAGAACCCTATGCACTAAAACAAAACAGTCTCAGCCAGAAATGTACGAATAACGTTTCGTGCAGACCAGAGAAGGCTCTTAGAACATTGTTTGGTGGGCCTATAGGCGAGCCAAGACGCTGCGCCACTGCTTGAGGTGCGCCGTGGCGCCGTGGCAGATGTTCCGGCGGCTCCCGTGAGCTCCCAGCGCTGTGCAGGAGGACAGCCGCGCCAGCCCCGTCGGCACTGTACAGACCTTCCACCGAGGGCCTCGGTCTGAGGTCGGCATGTCCCCCTAGAGGCGGATTCTCGACGAAAAATTTACAAATACAAAAAAATGCTCAAACATCATCCAAAAATACAAAAATAATCGTCCCCTGACTACTTGTTTTTTTACCATTTTTGAATTTTCCTCCTGTAGAGGGACATGCCCGACTGAAGCCTGGTCTGGGCACGTCCCGTGCTGGGTCAGCTCGGCAGCGGAGGGGCAAGAGCAAGAAAGACGGAGTAATGGCACTGATGTGCCCAAGGTCAGCGGAGGAGTAACAAGATGGACGGGAAGACACAGGGCAGACACAAATGGCCAGAAGTCCAGCTCGCCTGTCACTCCTTGGATGGCCTGGGCCAAGCTGAGAGTGAGCTTCTCGCCGTTGGCTTTGTCCCAGCCCTCGCAAACAATTAGAGCGACAATATTGGCAACACTGCTTGCTGCTGCTTTCAGCCAGGGAGTCTGCACAGATGCAAAGGCCGCCCAGGAGGTAACCACTTCGCCTCACGCCCCAGAACAATTCGCTGATCCCAGTGGAAGAGTCATTGCACAATCTCCTGGTGAGATCCAGCCGAACCCAGAAATCCAAAGCAGGCAGCAGGGTGCAAGGTACTCTTCGTGCGAGACACATACGCGCAACAACAAAAACACACACACACACAAACACACGCACGCACGCACGCACGCGGGCTAAAAAGGCAAGCCAAGATCACACAAAATAGATAGCAAAAATGCAAGCTGTTGGGAAACCAACACCAAACGCTAAAACAAACACAGACGTACACGGTGCCGCCCGGTGCAACCCTATACTACACTTTGACTGGGCATACCAGCATACTGGATGGGTGGACGGGCTGCAAGAGGTGACACCACTGGTGCAAGGATATGCGCGCGAGTACACAGAATACTGGCCTGGAACTTGTTCATCAGGTAACCCTTCGTTTCCTCGAACGTCCTGTGCAGAGTTACTATTTGATCACTGCTTTCCCTTCGCATGCACATTCGTTACTTCACCCCTCCTTCTGATCGTCCTCCTCATTCTTGAAGACCAACATATCACTAAGTAGAAGGCTCAGGGAGTTGCCCAGAGTACTCAAAGCCCGAGATGTCCTCAACCGTTCGGGTCATTCTGGAGCCACTGCAGCCCTCTGGGTCTCGTGAAGGATGCTCCAGAGGCCAAATGGTCTCCTGGTAATTTCTGGGGACACCCTGGGCTGGGAGCACCTTTCGCGACACCCGACGCATGGTATGCGCCCAACGCGACAAATGACAAAAACCAACGTCTGGCCTCCCTGTGAAAGGAAGACATGCACGACGACGAGTGCAACGGCAAATGCCGCGGCAAGAACGACCGCCAAAACTGCAATTGGCAAAATGCTGTTTCGCGAAACGTGCGCAAGGTAGCTATGAATCCCTTGGAATGCGCGACTGTGAAGTAAAGAAGCACAGCTTTCTGCATAAGAAACCGTTGACGTCGACAAGCCATCTCAGAACACAACCAATCGACAATAACACGATGCAGCGCAATTGATACACTCAGATGAACTGCTCAAAGTATCAACAAATTGTGATCGTCTAGGACCTCCAGAAATCAAATATATCGGCGTGCTGGGATGGTAACTCACTTCACAAACTTCCTGCCAATAACACACCATCCCCGACGGCGACACTGGCCATGGAACATACATCGAGTGCGAACGAGGACGGCACGTACCAAAACCACCATCGCCATCGCCGTCGACGTTATTGAGGGCATCTTCGCCAATACCCGTATGTACCACCGGCAACGACAAACCTTGACCGAAGGCCACAGCCAATCCGCGACTTCCCACCCGCGACATCGGTCTGGGCATTCGCGCGCGTCCGACTGACACGACTCGGCAGTCGAACAAGCCGTGCCACCTCCGAACCCAAGTCCTGATCTCACCCATGGTCTCGTTGAGCGTGCGAGACAGCAGTCCCAAGAACTGGTGGTCGTCATAATCTGGCCCCGGCGCTCTTCACGCCGCCAGATGAAAAAACAAGCTGGAGAAAAAGGCCAAACAAACGCTGTTGCACTTACCATCAAGAATTGAACAATCAACTACATGCAACATTCACATAAACTTTCGAACATCCGCGGCGCTGGACCCCACTGGAGGCGCCTCCGGCGAGATCCGGCCTAGCGCCGGTCCAAGAAATCCGAACGGACCCCGGGAACTGTGTGTTAACATCTGTTGTAGGGGAACGAATAATGGCATAAACATGAAAACTCCGAGGTCCGCGCGGATTTCTCGCGCCAGGGGCGGCGCTGGAGGCGCCGCCAGGGGGGTCCAGCGCAGATCCGAGAAATCCGCGCGGTCCTCCGAGTTTTTCTGTTCATGTCATTCTTCGTTCCCCTATATGTTAACATCTGTCTCTTGGGCGCCGACCATCATAAAACCCTCGCACTCACCCAAATGTGGCAGCACCGATTGCAGTGCAAGCGCAATCTGTCTTGATGTGCAGGGCAGGCCGTCGCATACTGCTGCCGATTTGTTTGCGGGCACCTTGGACTGTTCACCCACCAACTGGCCGCTGGGCAAACCCTCTGGAACCCCTTAATCTAAGACAGCACATGGAGACGCAGGAGAACACCAAGCCTTACCAAACAAACATCTGGACAAACTGAAACCTGAGAGCTGGTGCCAAGATCGTAAACGGGGCGGTCCTGATCCCTGAAGTAATAAAGGCGGCGACACTGGTTCATGCATCTATTCCAAATGACGCGCTGAAGCCGTCCGCGTCAATTGCACATCCACGCGCACATCTCGGAGACCAGGAGCTACACACTACAAAGATAGCCAAACAACTGTCCTGCGATGCCTCTTCAACAGCGACGATGATGACAACGAACCAATGGAAATCCTCCCCAATAGGGGTCCCAATAGACATCGGAGGATCGCACCGTACCGCCGATGCATAGGCGATGTCGGCGCGGAGAGATACAAGCTTCGAGTCAAATCGCATCGCCGATGCTAGAAGGCAGAAACTCCACGCCCATAATCATCACACCGACAAACGAAATCGTTTCGTGAACGCACCCACGGAACAAAAATCGAATAAGGCAAACCTCTTTAGCAAATGCCCAAAATCGTTAAATACACATCAATTGTTGGGTCCGGGAGGTTTTTCCTCCGTTGCACGAAACCCCATAATCGAATCGACAAGTCGAATGGGAAGTCGACATCAATCGGATCGGCCGAAATAGGCCGCCAAGTCGGGAAAAGTCGGATCGGCGGAAATCGGCCGGCGAATGTGCGTCCAACAAGACATCGGAACCCAAATCGGCATCCAAAGCCGAATCGAATCGGAATCAGAATCGATTGAAATCCGCCGAACCTGTCGGCGTGCGCGGGGTGTCTGTCCAGTCCGGTCGACGGGGAGCCTTCTTTCGTCCCCTCCCGTCGGGGGAGAGCGAAAGAGCACCTTTCCTCGTTCGGGGAACGGGTTCGCAGCTTGAGGGAATTCCTTCCACGTCCTCATTACGTCAAAAGAGAGCCCCTTCCCGCATTATGTCAAAACGGGGGGGGGGTCAGATTCGGGGAGGGGAGTCAGGTGCGCATCCGTCCCTGGGGGTCCTCCTCCCCCTCCCCTCCCCTCTCCCACGCCGGTCCTCCTCCGGTCCTCCTCCCCAGGGGGGGGTCCCAGGGGGGAGTCCTTGTCCTCCTCCTTTTCCTTCTCCTCCTACTCCTCCTCCTCCCTCTCCTCATCTCCGCCTCCTCCTTTTCCTCCTCCTCCATCCTCCTCCTTCTCCTCCTCCCCCTCCTCCCCCTCCTGGTCGTCGTGGATGTCTTTCAGGGTCGGCGGCACCGGCCGTCAGGCCTTCACAATCGAATCGACTCAAATCGGAGGCATCGAAACGAGCCCTGGCCTTGAGATGCATCGGCCATGTCGGCGGGATCCTTCGACCCCGTCTGTCGGGGGCAACGAACGGGGTGGTAGCAAGGGGTAGGGTAGAGAATCAGCTCGCGTAACTGATTTTCCCAGCGCCTCCCCGCGCCGGGAGGCGCCCGTGCATCGAGGAGTGGGCCCGGCGGCGGGGCCGAAACCAGCTGCATGCAGCAGATTTCGTACCCCCCCCTTTCCCTGTTCTAGGGGAACAAAAATTACATAAACATAAAAACTCGGAGATCCGCGCGGATTTCTCGGATCGGCGCTGGACCCCCCTCCCTGGCGCGCGGAGCGCGCCAGGGGCGGCGCCGGAGGCGCCGCCGGGGGGCCCCAGCGCCGATCCGAGAAATCTGCGCGGACCTCCGGGTTGTTATGTTTATATACGTCACTTCTTGCTCCCCCCTGCTCCCCCCCCCGCCCCCCCTCCCTTCGGCCCGAGTCCGCCGATCCGCTCCGACGCCCCCCGTGCTGCCGGGAGGCCTCCGGCGCCCGAGGCCGCCCGCGCTCGCCCGGCGGCTCTCGGCGGGCGGGCCCCCTCCGTCTCCCTGCACGCAGGCATGTCGGGCACGTCCCCCTGGTTTAGGGGGCAACTGCTGGGAGGTTTTCGTCGGAAGGATTGAAGAGGATTAAGCCCCATTTGGGAGCTGTTACGCCGGAGTGGGCCTCAGATTAAGCGATATTAAGCCGGATTAAGCGGGATTAAGCCGGACTTCGGACCAGTGCAAAATCAGAATTTGACCTCCCAGGAGTTGCATCCCAACCTAGAGGAGGAATATCCAAAAATAGCCAAACAACAGTCTGGGAGCGTCTTTTTATTATTCGTTGCTGTGTCCGATTATCTTTTGAATCTGTTTTTGACTTTTTCGCCCAAAACCCGCCTGTAGGGGACTTGCCAAACCCAACCCTACGGGTAGGTCGGGCATGTTCTCCTGCAGCCGGATCTTGAAGCCAATGGTACTCAGAAATGGTCAGAAGACCACGGCACATCGTCATCATACTATGTGTGTACTGTTCTTGAGTGTTTGTCCTGTAGAGGGACATGCCCGACTTGGCCCTGCAGTCACCCCGTACCGTCAGGGTGCGCGATAAGGATGCAGGAGCCTGAGTTGGCCATGCCGACACTCTGCGAGCGGGGCGCGGCCAGCGGAAGTGGCCAAGGATGGGCCGAGGGGGAAGGATGCAAGGGTACCCTTGGGAAGGTTGCCCATCCTCACTATGCGGATTGACTGTACTCCGCCGGCCAAACTGAAGGGCATTCGAGGTGCCCTCCCCCAGGATGCACAAGAGCATCCAGCAGACACGAAGAACGATAGGGTGCCCTCCCCGAATCGACCTCGACCTTTTACCCCGGTCTGGCCGTAGAGGCGCTCCGGGGGGTAGTTCTGCGTCAAAGCCTAGACTCACGAGGCCCCTGCGGGCAGGCGTGTCCATGCAGGGCGGGGCGTCTCCCTAGGCACCCCCTCGGCCATTTGGGTGACCCAAAAGGGGGTCCAGCTGAACAGGGGTGGTGCAATAGATTTCGAGCAATTGTATTGCAAATTTACTGCGCCAGAGAATTGTATTGCATTGTATTGCAAGTAATGTATTGCACGCGGAAATCCAGCAATACATTTGCGCCCCGGAATGTATTGCACGCCCCAAATTTATTGCAACCCCACAAATCGATTGCACCAAATCTATTGCACCACCCCCTTGTCGCTGTACCCCCTTCGTGGTCAACCCGAAAGAGTGGGGGCGGTCCCGCGCAGGGGGCCAGGACCCCCTGGGAACCAGCTGTTCGGGGGGCTGGGAGCTGGGGCAGAAAAGGAGGGGTCAGCCTGCGAAATCTCCGAGGAACAACGCTCGCGAGTCCGGACAAGTACGAGGCGGGGGAGACGCCCTTAAGTGAGGAGTTGACCTGTCATCCAGGCGGAGGCTGACGGCTACCCCTCCCCTGAAGGGTGAGGACAGAGGGGGGCGAGCAGGGGGCGGAGGGGAAGGATGGACGAGGATTGGGCGCAGGAAGGAAGGGGGAAGAAGAAGACAGGCGCCAAGTGGAAATGGATTGAGCACATGACACCACGCAAACAATCGGAACCATTGGGGTTGATCGGAAGAAACCTGTGTCTCTGGCGCTGTCACTGTTTGTCGGATGTGGTGCACGGGTGCACCGTGATCACCCAGGCCGATTGACAGTAATCTGAAACATCGACGCTGCCTGGTGCAAATCGTATGCAACCTAACTAACGAGCTGTTAGGACAACTTGTCGTGTGGATCAACAGATGAACCGACACAAATGTCAACCTCTGGCTAACAAAGAGAAGCTCTCACCCTGGTGGTGGTTCTTGAAGAGCTCCACCTTGTGCTTGATGGCCTCCCATGGCCAGACCGTGTGTATTCCCCTCCCCATTCATCAATCCATTGACGCCGCCGCTGCACTACCATCAAAGACCAAATTGACTCCCTCTTCTGATGTGCATCTTCAAGATCTTCTCGAAACATTTCGCTTGGTCGTTAGCGCATGCTACCCTTGTCTCTTTAGCGAGGTTGAATCATTTCCTGAACGCCACATGCACGTTGCTCAACATCAAACGACACTGCGAACATGCTTGCCCGCACCTAATCGATCGAGGGCTGGGGGAGCGAGACCGGGAACGGAATCGCCCAATCGGGCGGTTTCGGCTCTGTACGTGTCGTGCGTGCGGGCGAGGCGACACTGCACGAGTTCCTGCACTAGCGGGACCCAGGTCACGCCGCCATGAGTCAGGTCCCTTCCCTCCTTTTCCCTCTCCTCCTTTCCTCCTCCTCCTCCTCATGTTCCTCCTCATGCTCCCTCACTTCCTCTTTCCTCCTACTCGTCGTCGTCGTCGTCGTCGTCGTCCTCCTCCTCCTCCTCCTCCTCCTCCTCCTCCTCCTCCCTGCTCCTCGCCCTCCACCTCCTCCTCCTCCTCCTCCTCCTCCTCTTCCTCCTCCTCTTCTTACTCCTCCTCCCTCTCTGTCATTCCCTGTTAGGTATATCCTCCCGCGCTGAGGCGGAAAGCCTTTGGGCAGCGGGCATTGGACAAAAGACAAGGCGGAAGCTGCCGCGCCCAAACTCGCAGTCTGGCGATGTTTAACTTTTTGACTTGCTTTTCATGCAGGCGCAATCTCGGGCGGCTGTGGTGTTCCTCCTCCTCCTTTTTCTCGTCCGCCTCCTCCTCCTCCTCCTCGTCCTCGTCGTCGTCGTCCTCCTCCTCCTTCCCCTTCCTGGCCCCTCCCCGTGGAGCACAGAGACAGCGAAACAGGATGGGGGAAGGTGTAACGGAAGAGGATGCACAGGCACGATCTGCTACACATTGTCAGAAGGCGAAGGGAGGATGCGAGGAGAAGGGGGATGCGAGGAGGAGGAGGAGGATGCGAGGAGGAGGAGGAGGAGGGGAAGGAGGATACGAGGAGGAGGGGAGGAGAGGTGGAGGAGGGGGAGGAAGACGAGGAGGAAGCGGAGAAGGGGCATAATGGTGTTAGGAAGAGGATGCGAGGAGTCGGAGCGATGATGCGAAGAACAGGAGGAGGAAAAAGAGGAGGGACCACCCAGGCGGGCGCAGGCGTGGCCGGGAACCCCCATAGCAAGCAAGAGGGCGACGGAGAGACGGATCAAGAAATCAGGGATCGATTTTCGAATATCGAGGAGATTCGTGGCCGTATTTCGGGGTTCTTGGATGTGAGGGCTGTCCGGGCCGCAGCCAACACTCTAACTCTAGGGCGCAACAGCGGAAGACGACGGGGGAAACGTTAACACAAAACTGTCCCGGGTAATGGATATCGGCATAGATACACGCGGCTGCCATCGCGTGGAAAAAAACGCGCTCAACAAACACAAAATTACGTACCCAGTTACGTCGCAAGACTTCGCATGAGGCGGCGGCGGCTGCTTCGATTCGTTAGTTAGGTGGGGCGGATGAATTGGCCCTGGGATCCAAAAACACCGCTTTAGCTTCCAGCGCAGCGACACATTTATGTAGACACGCCCACATCACACAAGGAACTGCGACATGGATTCGCGGTCGCACTTCCCTTCGCAAGAAAACAATGCCGCAACGCATGCCTGTCGAGATAGAACCCCCTCTGTCATGCCACGTTCCGATGGCCCTGTCCCTGCGCGCTTCGCCCTTACCTGAAAACCTAGTCGCTGCGCTTGCCCGAGCTAGGGGAATACCGCACTGAAGGTTGCAAGCTCATATCCTTGCTCTTTCCCGTGGAAGCCAGCAGCGAGCATGCGCGCCTGCTTTTTTTCCAGAATTAACAAAGGCAGCTCGAACAAACTTCCTGCATTCCACGCCACTACGCCCAAACGCGGGCCCCGAGAGATCGTGGCAGGGGCTTCCCGCGCCGCCGAAGACAACGTTCGCGATGGCTCCGCAGAGTTGCGACAACTTGTCAACCTGCGACTCCCGCGTCCATGACGTTGCCCCAGTCAATGAGGCCGGGCCGCCTCTTCCTGGCGACCCCGCGCGCGCTGGCGTCGGCCTCGGAGGAGACGCAGCCTATGATCTTGGTCCGCAACCTCGACGCCGCGACGATCGCGCCGCCGATCCCGCCAAATAGCCCGGCGACCAGGGCCGCTGGCAGCTTGCCCCCGTCAGGCAGTGGGAGCATGGGGTTGCGCGACCCCCAGGCTCGCCAGAGTGGCGCCTCGCCCAATAGCAAACGGACTGCCATTAGGTGCTGTCGTCTGCCCTCCTGGCCAGAAGCGCACGCGGCGGCCGGCCTAGCCAGCGCCCCCGAGCTGGGGCTCGGCGAGGCGCGGCATTCCCGCCGTCCTCGGAGGCATCGGATCAAGTGGCGCGTGCATCTACCTCCGCGCGAAGGTCGGTGAAGGCGAGGGGCAACGGGCCAATGTCGCCGAGAATATCCTCGGTCATCTCGGAGCTAGCCCAGACCAAATGCGAGCCGTTCGCGAATTTCCAGACCGCAGTCAGCACGCAGAAGAGCACTCGCCTGAACACCAATGCCTGACCGCCCTGCCCAGCAGCGCCAGCACGGTCTTCATGCCCAATCGCTGGACACCAGGGGCGCCCCAAAGAGCATGGTCTCCAAGCGCTTGGGCAGGGGCGCTGAGACACGCCCGCCAATGCCGCCCACCAGCGCGCCCTTCCCCATCGACCTGAGACTCGCCGTGGCGGGCCGCGTGGTCAGCCCGAGCGACGCAATTCCGCTTGTAGGAGGCCCTCTGCTGCGTCTGATAGGCCGAGCCAATTCCAACCTCGCCCTTAGCCGTGTCGACGATCCGAAGCGCATCGAAGTCGCGGGTGAAGAACTGGCACCAGTCGCGGCACTTGCCGACCTGAGCAAGCGGCGAAGGCCTGTCTCGCCTCCACTCGCCCCCCCCCAGCAGACCAGCACCAGCGGGGGGCCGCGGGCCAAGCCGCCTGTGCAGGTGCTGGAATAAAGCAACAGCAAGCAACCACCCCATCGGTATCACGGCAGAGCAGACATGGACGGTCTGGAAGCCGGGCCGCCCTGCCAGGCGGCCAGGAACTCGCTCCAGGGTAGCGAAACTCTTCCCAGGGCGCAAGGCCTTCCGTGCGAAACAAGCGCCAAACTGGTCATCTCCAGGCCGGAGGAACACGAATTGGCCCTCCAGTGCGACAGTGACCCAAGAAGTCGAGGCCGTGAACATGGAGAGATTCTGGGTCATGATCTCCGGGTAGCTGTTAGCCAGAACCGCGTTCATGATCAAGCGGCACCGCCCGGCCCCCCCCCCAGGCGCGGGCGCGCCCCGCTTCTCGGCAACAGAGGCGCCACTCAGCACGGGCACTCAGCCTGCCTTGGACATGTGCTCTCTCCATGGGATCCGCGACCCCCCAACGAGTAGATGTGCGCATCTATCCTGGCCCACTCGGCAGGCGTTTCCACGATGGGGCCTCGCCTTCGGCACCACCTCTGGCAACCCACTGGGCCTGGGGCAGATAGGCCTCGGATGGGGTCGCCGAGCAAGGCGAGCGCTTCTGAGCTGACGTTCGCGCGAAGGTCGAGCCGTCCAGCAACCTCAGCGGCAGGGAACCCAGGGCGCCACTCGCCCAGTCGGAAAGCTAGGGCCTGGCGCCGCTGTCGATGTCAGAAGCGCTGGTCGAGATCTCGCTGAGCAGTCGTATGCGAAGCCATGCCGAAGCCGCCCCTGGGGAAGCACTCGACCTGCCCGCGCGTGGTCTCGATCGAGGCGACCTGGGCAACAGACTTTTGCGCGTGGTGCCCCCACACCTCCATCCCGCACGACCCGCGCACTGGTAGTTGGTAAAGATGAACTGGATGAAGACCCGCAGCTCTTCCGAGGCCAACGCCGTGTCCGCAGTACAGACCAGGGCAAGTTCGAGCCAACTGGAGCTCGCAACCGCAGTAACCATGTGCTTCCAGGGCCGAGCGTTAGCAAGGGATGGAGCAGCAAGTGGCAGTACATCGCGAAATCTCCGCCAGTGCTGCTGCAGTGGATGCGCGCAACGGAAAAAAGAAACACTGCAGAACTTACCCCGCCTGCAAGGATGGGAACACGTCGCCTCGATAGGCCAAGCAGCGAAGGTGGGCGGGGTCATGTCGCCCTCGAGTTGTCCTGCAAGCCTTTTTCCTCCAGGACTTGAAATCTGACGTGCCTGTTAGGGTCCAGGGCCAGCTCGCTCCGCCGCTGGTCTTCAACGAATCCCACCAGCCCTCTGGGCGTCGGTGGTCTCGGGCGGCTCATCTTCCAACGCCGTTCTTCCCCTTCAAGGAGGGGTTTACCCATCCCCCCGCCCCCCCTCCTGGACTTGGGCGGGGCCGGTCGCGAGCGGTCGGGGCACCCAAAACGGCCTCGGCGAGGAAGCAAAAAACACAGGTTTTTACAAAAGTTGTGACCCCATTTTGGCCTCTTGGGGAGACGAAGGCAAAATGAACACCCTTTCGCGACGATCGATCCCTTCCAAGATGGCCCCACGGGGCGCCCAGGAGGCCCCGAAAGGCTCCAAAATGGCCCCTGGATGGCCCCAAGAGGCCCCCATGAGGCCCCCCAGGAGGACCTCAAGCGGCCCCCCCGAGGCACCCAGGACGCCCGAGAGGCCCCCAGGACCGCCAAGAGACCCCCAAAACGTCCCAAGAGGCCACCCAGAAACGCCCACGGGATACCCCAAGAGGCTCCGAGAGGCATCCAAGAAATCATTGGCCCTTTTGTTTGCCCTCCTCTTCCTCCTCCTCCCCCTCCTCCTCCTCCTCCTCCTCCTCCTGCTCGTCCTTCCTCCTCCTACTTGTTCGTTTCCTCCTCCTCCTCCTTTCCCTCCTCCTCCTCCTCCTCTTCATCCTCCGTCCCCCCACTCCCTCATCCATCAAACCAACCTCTTCCTTCCCATCCTCCCTCATTCGCACGGTTCGGCCGTCCCCCTCTTTGCTACCGCACTTCCTTGATCACCTCAACTCGCCTGGGCATCGTTTCTGGATGGGCTGGTAAGGATACGCGAAGCGCCCGGAATCCCACCAGCCCTCTCGGCGTAGGTGATCTAACGATGTTTTCCTTTCCTCTTCCAAACACCCTCCCCCCTTCGGGAAAGGTCTCACCCCTCCCCCTACACCCCTACCGTGGGCCTGGACGGGGCGCCCCGCGAGGTGGCAGAAGGTTTTTTGGTTCGCTTAAAATGATCCAAGAGGGCATCCGATGCACCAACATGGTTTCCAATATGGCTCAAGATAGGACAACATGGCTCAATATAGCTAACAACGCGCCTCCAAAAAAACCCAAGAGGACCACATGACGGTTCCAAATGCTCTCGGAGACCCCATCAGAACCCTCCAAAAAACAACATCCGTTTTAAGAACTTGGGGCCAATCGGTGGTTTGTGCATTCTCGCCGTTTCGTTTCCGACGCGCTTCTGGGGCATCAGGTTGCCCCCAACATTGCCCAAAAAGGCCCCAAGAGGGGCCCAAGAGGCCCCGCGACGGTCCCAAGAGCGCCCAAAGAGCGCCCCAAAATCGCCCCGAGAGACGGTTTTGAGAGCCCCCCAAAGGGGATCAACGTAAAAGACCCCCCATATTTTGATCGATGGCCTCCAAGATGGATCCAAGAAGCTCTCCAGGACTCCCATGAGGGCCCCAAGTGAGCGCCAAGAGGGTCCAACAAGCGCCCCAAGGGGCGCCAAGACGCGCCAAAAAAGCCCCAAGAGGACCCAACGACCCCTCAAAGAACCCGAACAGAGCCCAAAGATGCCCCCAAATCCGCCGACCCTGTCGGCGTCTGGACCCCCTTGTCGGCGCGCGCTCAGTCGACGCATCCGTTGTCCTCTGTCCCTGCGTATCCGTCGCCCCCTTTCCCTGCAACCTCCCCTTCAAGCCTGCCAGCGAGAAAAAACCATAGCAACGTCGTTTTAAGTCGAAAAAAAACCCTTCCTTTTGATCCCTTCCCCACCGAGGGGGGGGTCCCGGGGTGGCCCCGGGGGGAGGGGTCAGATATGAATCCGCCCCCGGGCGCCCCAGACGCCCAAGAAACTCCAAGACGCGCCAAGAGGGCCCCAAGCAAGGCCCAAGAAGAGAACCACGAACCGACATTTCGAACTTCCCGCCCCAAGAAGCCCCCGGCAGGCCCCAAGAGCCCGTCAAGGGGCCCGAGGAAGCCCCCAATAGACCCCCAAGAGGCCCAACAGAGGCCCCAACAAACCCGAAAACATCCAAGAGGCTTTTCAACCACAACCCCCTCGCGGTGGCGGGAAGGAACGCAGGCCACAAGGCTCCCTGTCTGCCTCTGCTACGACTCCCTCGGCCCAGGCCCACATGGGGAACATATCCTTCGCCTTTTCCTGCCCCCTTCCACCTGAATCCTCCTCCTCCTCCTCCTCCTCCTCCTCCACGCATTCGTCGTCGTCGTCGTTGTCGTCGTCGTCAGGGTCGGCGGCACCGGCCGCAAGGCCTTACAGTCGGCCTTGATTAGAGAGGGCACGCGAGAGGACACAAGACCCTTCCGAGGGCCACATCGCCATAGGAGTGTGAGAAGACACGCGTCGCGAGGCACAAGGCACAAGGGCACCCTTGAGCTGGCAGGGTCGGCCTACAAATCCGGGCCGACTGTAGCAATATCCCCCCTAGCGGACCCCAGGACCCCCCCTAAACAGCTATTCCCGTTGGCTCTCATGGGCATGGCTTCTGAATGGGCTGGCGGGGATACGCGAAGCGCGAAGACTACCGTAACATCGGTGCCCAGTTTCGTCGCCGAGCAGCTGCCCAAGGGGCGGCAGCCTGTGCTGCCAGGGGCTTGCTCGTCCCGTCGGAGTCCTTCAATATTACCTTCCCGATGCCTTCCTGATGCGGCTGCGGCTGCTTCATCATCATCTGGGACAGGCGCAGCCGATGCTTGCCCTTGGTCCTACCATCCTTCTTGGGGTACTTGAGCTTCAAGTCCTTGTAGGTATTGGAAGGCATCTCGGCACTTTGATCCTCGGCTCTTTGGCAGCTCGCGCCAGCCGCCTCCGCAATGCGAGCCGCCTCGCGAAAATCATGGCCTCGCGGCGCCCCTCCAATCTCTTGTCGACGGGGGTGGCCTGCGGGAGCTGCTGCCGAACTCGATGGAGGCAGCTCCGGGCCGAGCCCCAAGTCCGAGGACTTGATCTTGCCGGCGAGCTCCGCCAGCTTGAGCTTTCCGTACTCAGTCATCCTGAGCAGCTCCTCCTCCTCGATGCCAATGGCTGCCATGTCAAAATCGGGGGGGTGAGTTCCAGTCATCGGGCGCTCCTCCAGCGCCTACCCTTGCAAACCAGTTGGCAAGTCTTGAACCTCTGAATCAGCATGTCCATGGCCTCCAGGCCCCAGCCCCCCCCCAACAGGTAGTCGAGCACCTCGGACAAGGTGCGCATCTCAATGGACATCCCACCCCCTCATTGAGGACACGGGGTGCTTGGCGAAGAAGACGTTCAGCAAGTACTTCCTCGTGATAACGGGCAGTTCCTCCTCGGGCTCGCGAAGCCCCCTTGACCTCAATAGCTGCTTCAGGCGTGAAAGGCGGGCACTCCACAACTTGCCATGTGAATCGCGAGCAATCCGTCGAAAGAATGCCCTCGAGGCGGCCGATGACTTGCCCGCAGTGAGGCCAAGGGTCAGGTCCAGGCTCTCAGTGATGCCGAAGCCGTCCAAAGACTCACCCTGCGAGATCGCGCCCAGCAGCGCCCGCAAGAGTCCGGCAGCTGCGACACCACACCGGTCCTCATTGGCAGGGCCCTCAGCGGCGGCGGCCCCAGCACCGTCGCGTGACACGGCAGCGGCCACAGGACAGGGCCTGGCGTCCCCAACTTCTGAGCCTTCGCGGCCCTCTCTGCCAAGATCTCGCCCAGACCCTTCCGCTTCTGGGGCTGACCAACGCGGTCACCTCCACCAGCGGCAGGTCCAGCTTCGGCCTGGGAGGCCAAATGGCGGAATTGCCCCCTCGTCTTCTCGTCGGGCTTTCGTCCACCCTCAGTCGCGGCAGCGGCAGCAGCTTCCAAGGGGGTAGCCCCCTCCGCAGCCCCCCTGGCCCTGGGCTTAGCGGCGCGCGCGGGGCACGCAGGTCGAAGGGGAGCACGTTCGCCAGCGAGCCCGCCCGCGCCAGACCCGCTGAGCGGCAGCCGCGGACCCGAAGACAGACACCAGCATCCCGAACACATCAGCCTCCTCCCTGGGCGCGGGGACGCTGTCGATGCCTAAATCGCCTGAATGTTTGACAGGCTCAGAACCAAGTCCCCCAGGCCACTTCGCCGCAGGGTTGAGCAGGCGAAAAGCCAGGAACGTGTCGCCAATGTCCTCGACGATCGAGACATGGTCGACGTGAGCGATTTCAATATCCGCGCCAGCCGCTGCAACGCAAAGGGAATAGTCCCCGTCTTGGCAAAAGTGGACCAAAAGCTTCTGCCGCACAGAAACCGGCGATCCAACATTTTCCTTATATTGCTGTAGGTGCTGATCCGCGCAAAAGAACTCAGCGCGCGCGAACTGGCCAGCAGCGGATGGCGGGTACAATACGAGGACTCTGTATAATGCATGACCCTGGTCTCCACCATCGTTGTCGTAGCAGCGAACCTCGGATCAATCGCCCCCCCCGTACCGCACGCGCCTCCGCAGGCGCCTCTGCCCCCTTGGAGGCCTCCTGAATGCCAAACTCCAGTGTCAGAGGAACGCCTGCTCGCGCACGCACGAGCGCCCTGAACGCTCGACCGCAACATCTAGAGCAAGAAAGCTGCGAGACAATATCGGCGATTTCGCGTGACCACCGAGATGTCACAATGACCCGTTGTGTCATAATACGGATTGTATACGCATTTGGCTCGAGTGTGACTGTTATGGTCTGGACGTCTGGTGCTCTATTGGGGAAAAAATGCAAGCTGTAACTAACCAGGCCAAGTCTCTCGAACCCCCAATAGTTGGACACGAATCACCTTTTCGCGATTACAATTCCGACTTCGGCTACGACTAAGACTACGACTACGATTACGACTACAACCACGACTACGGTTACGAATATAATCGCGAATACAATCGCGATTACAATCACGGTTACGATCACGATTACAACAACGACTACAGTCACGACCCCAACCACCACCACCACGACAAGTAGCTAGCTACCACGACTACGAGAGAAGGCCCTTGCTCCCCTCGAGGGCGGGACGCGCATCCACATCCAGGGCCTCGCGGTCTGGACTCCTCGGTCGAGGCCCCACGGCCGCGGGACAAAGGGCTGCTCTGCGCGGATGCAACGCTCAGAGCGGACCCCTGGGATCGTGACTCGGAATTCGGACCGCGAGGGCATGGACATGGACATCTTCGTCGTTCGTTGTCTTTCCTTCTCGTCGTCCTCCTCCTCCTCCGCTCTGCTGTCAGCCTCGACCATCTTGGAGGAGGCGATGGCGATCTTCGAGCGCGAGCTGTCGAGCTTCTCCTCTCGGCCATCGCGGAGCAAAGAACAGAGAGCAAACAACACGTGCAACGGAAATGAGGGGCAAGAGGAGGGATGGGTCGGGTCGGCTAAAAGGTGTGGATAGCAAAGGGGGGTGGCTAATCAACTGAATGCAGCTGGTTGTCGAGGCGCCGCCAGGCTCCAAAAGCGACTATGTATGAAGGATGGGCACCGCAGGCGGAGCTAAGACCAACTGCATGCAGTAGCTTTCGTGCTCGCCCGTTTCCCCATCCCCCAATGTCGGCCGACGCGAACGGAGCAGGGAGGAGGGAGGAATGATCAAATACATACAACTGGGTAGCGCTTCGTCACAGCGGGGATGCCTGGACCAGCTGTGCCCCCAAGTAGAGGCGGAGGAGGACAAGAGAGGAGGGAGACAAGATCAGGAGGACGGAGGGAGGAGGACGCAAGCAGGATGATGGAATGAGGTGGAGTCGGCATGCTGCTTTCCTGTGATACGAGGTGGCGGCCACGACGGCGAATACCCACCCACCCCTCAAACGCGGATAGAACGGCTGCCCTGGGATCGGAAACCGAAAGGCCACCAACTAACGAGAGAAGCCCGCCGCTGTCACACACTCCTGAGAGCAGCGAACTTCCCGTGCAGTGCAGAATGGGCTGGCCCCCGATCGGGCCTCCGGACTGGGCCGCAGACGGGTGGCAGCCCCTCTCTGGTCCCTCACGCCACCCTCGGCCACCGCCCTCCAGCTCTTGAGACCACGAGCCCTGGATGGGGGGCTTCTCCGTGACCCACCCCCGTGCCCACGCCCCCGACGAGGCACAGATCCGCGCGGGCGGGGACCCACTATCCCCCCCGACGATCACCAGGTGGCAACTGCAACGGCCAGTGGCGCCGCCGCGAGGCCTGCCCATCGAAGGCCCCTTGCACTGTTAACGCGCTTGCCTAGTTCCATCGTGGTCCTGCCCCGCCTTGCTGGTCCCATGTCGCCCCGAAACCCTCCAAACCGTGCGGGCGAGCAGCCTCGATCCAGACCGCGGTCATCTGATCAGGTCGCTGCTTCGCGAAACCAGCGAGGGTGATGGTGATGTTGTCCAAGTCCTGCGCAACGGTTATCTCGCGACCACACTGCCGGGATCAGCAACACTCGCCCTGTTCTCTGGACTCCCTCTTCCTCCATCGGCGATCTGCCCCTTATCGAAGGATTGCAACAAAAAAACAGGATTGCAAAAAAAACCCAGGATTGCAAAAAAAACCAGGGTTTTTTGCAATCCTGGGTTTTTTGTTGTTGCAATCCTTGGGTTTTTTTTGCAATCCTTCGAAACGTCCCACCAGCCCTCTGGGCGGAACTCTCGTCGGGTGTTTCCTCTTCCACCACCCTCCTTCCCCTCCGAAGAGGGGTTTACCCGTTCCCCTGCCCTCCCCCCCCCTTGGTTCTGGAGAGCTGGAGACGGCCCAAGGTGGTTCCAAAAGGGCCCCACAAACCTGAAGATGACCTCCAAGATGGCTGAAGGTAGTCCAGGATCGCTCAATTGTGTTTTCTCAGTCTGCCTAAAAATGGTTCAAGACTGGCCAGACAGGCCTCGGAGCTTATCGAAGCCGGCATCAATCCCAAACCTCTGGCAAAGAAAGACTTGGTTGCCTTCTCTTGGGCGCCCGAGTTATCCGGGGTAACTCGGGTCCGGGGTAACTCGGGTTTGGATTCCCGAAAAACGAACCCGAGTTATCCCTGACCCGAGTTACCCCTGATGATCCTGGGGCTCTGGACGCCCGAGTTATCCGGGGCAACTCGGGTCCGGGGTAAGTCGGGCTCGGCTTCCCGAAAAACGAACCCGAGCTATCCCCGACCCGAGCTACCCCTGATGCTTCGGGGCTCCGATCCTCGACGTCTCGCGTCTGCTGGGCTCCCGAGGCAGCTGGCCCCAAAAGAGCCCCAAAGACGTGCTCCTCCCTCCCTCCCGCCGCTTCTCCTGCTCCTCTCCTCCGCGTGCCCTCTTCAGGAGGAGGAGGAGGAGGAGGAGGAGGAGGAGGAGGAGGAGGAGGAGGAGGAGGAGGAGGGAGGAGGAGGAGGAGGAGGAGGAGGAGGGAGGAGGAGGAGGAGGAGGAGGAGGAGGAGGAGGAGGAGGAGGCCGAGTGCGCACGCCGGCGCGCTCCGACTGCGCCCCCAAGGGGGTTCCACAGAAGGCGATTTTGGGGGGGGCTCAAAACCACCCCTGCGCGTAAAGCCACAGTCATTGAGACACTAGCTCGTTGTTCCGCGAATTTGATGGGCGTGCTCTCCACCACCACCACCATGAGTTGGAGGGGGGGGGGTCCTCCTCCTCCTCCTCCTCCTCCTCCTCCTCGCCCTCATCCTCCTCCTTCCCCCCACCAACTTATGGTGGTGGTGGTGGAAAACAGGCTCATCATAATTATTTCAGCATCTCGAAAAATCAAGGCGTTTGGCTCAGCATGGCTTCGGGATGGCCTCAGGAGAAAACCCAGGATGGCCTCCGAGACGGCCACCACTATGCCTCCACGAGGCCCAGAGACTTCCGCATGACGAACCCGAGTGGCCACGGAACCTCCCACGAATGAGTACCCACACGAGGCCCAAACCTTCTCGAAACTTAAATTCACCATGCGCTATAGGAAAGATAGCTTATCAAACCAATGCGATCGCCTGTCGCACGTTCCAACCCTTTCAGGACACAGTCTGCGCACCGGAAGCGAGCCGGCACGCTCGGATCGAACTTCCAGGCAGCAGCGCTTGCAGCAGAATAATCGCCGAACGCGAGACGGCACGCTTGGAATGAGTTTCCTTGCGAGATCCTTGGCAATGCGGAAAGGTCAAACGTGTGAGCCGGCACGGTCGGAATGAATTTCATGCTGGGAGCGCTGGTAATTCGATGCGCAGCCCCTGTGTCCCGGCACGCTGTGCGTGCGCGTCGTGGCAAGATGCTGGAACCGCAGTGGAAACAAGCTGGTACGTTCATGAAGCTCGCGGGAAGGGCACTGGAATAACCGGGGAAGGTAGAGGTACGGGCCCTGTAGCAAGAGGCTCATGAACAATGACAGCGTTAACACTGCATTGCGTGTGTGCTGGAAGCGAGCCCGCACGCTCGGATTGAGCTTCCTGGCATCCTGGCAGAACCGCTGGCGCTAGGACGACCGCCGAAGGAAATCCAGCACACTTCGAGTGAACTCGCTTGCGAAATCGTTGCACGCAGCGCTGGCGCACGGAAGCGCGCCGTGCGCGAGCTGTCACGTTCGAACAACGCCACACCCTCCGTGCACCCCTCCCCCTCTTCCAAAGTTCCCACATTTGCCTCCTTCCTCCTCGTCGTACAACTCCTCCGTGCTGTCGTCATCCTACTGCTCCGTCTGCGCGACCCTCTCTAATTTCTCATCCTCCTTTGCCTCCTCTCCTCCTCGGTCTCGGTCGTGCGCGCCCAATGGGCCGCGTTGTGCCGATACCCCGGGCAAATGGCAGGCGTGGCATGGTCCCACCTAGGGCTTCGGCAAAGGGGCAAGTGCCCCGCGCGCGCGCCCGCTCTACAGGGGCCGGGTCTCGCACCTGCGGAACCATTTTCGGGGCCCTTGCAGAGCCGCGCCTGCCACCACGCCAATTGGCGGCGCGCAAATGCGCGGCGCCACTGCGCACGTATCATCCTTGTCCTCATCCTCCTCCCCCGCCTCCTATCCTCCGCTTCCTCCTCTCCGTCTCTCGTCTCCTCCTGCTCCTCCACCGCCGCATCCGTGTGCCTCCGCGGGAAAACGGGCAAGGGCGGGGGGGAAGAGGAACAAAGAGGAACAAAAACGGAGGGAGCGGAGGAGGGCCGGAAGGACAGAGACATCGGGGTGCAGGGGCAGGGGTGGAAGTGAGCCCGCGAGCCTCCAACCGCTCCCTAACCGACCGCCCAACCCCCACCCTGGCCAACCCTGGTGGAACTCCCCCTGTTGGCGCTCAGCACGCCTGTCGGAGATGACGGGGGCGGGGCAAGGAGGGGGAAGAGGGGGAGGGGGAGAGGGGGAGGGGACTCAAGGAAGATAAGTATTCCGTGGCCGCTGCGTGGAGGCTTGGGCCCCTGATGCAGCTGGCTGGCAAGCTGGAGCCCAGCGTGGCTCAGATAAAGCAGAGCGCCAACAATCGGACCCCAATGTATTCATTGCGCTCTTGTGTGGAACCTGTGCGGCAAGCTCTGACCCAACAGCTGGGGCGTCGTCGATAGAACCGCGCAACACGAGATGGCAAACCCGCCACGCCCAGGCCCCCATAGCCCCACAGACGCACAGATCGTGGGGAGATACGACAAGGATGACGAGGGAGAAGAAACTTCCAGAGGAAGAGGAAGATAAACAAGAGAGGACGGCGATGCAATAGGAAGGAGGGGGCCTAGGGACACAACAATAAATAGACACAACTCCCAGGATTCCCGAATTTGTCCCATAAGTTCTGGGTGTTCGTCTTCCCCCCCCACTTCCTATATCTTCCCATCTAATTTTCCTCTGCGTCGACGATTCATTGTGTCTCTGTGTTTCAATCCCTCCTGAAGGAAGCCGCCAGGGGAGGACGAAGAGGAGGAAGATGGCAGTGCCCAGGGATTCGGGGAGAATGCGGACAGACATTCGGCACGGTCGCTGTCAGTGGAACAACTTCGTGTACACTTCGCGACGGCGAGAATTTCCCCTGCAACGATAACCCTGGCCAACCCCGCCGGCCAACCCTCAATAGCCCGTCCGATCCTCCTGCCCATCCTGGCAAACTCTGGTTAGGGCAATTCGTTCTTCAAGATGGAATAAGACAATGTATGTTTGCATTCTTGCCCTTTCACTTACGATGGGCCCCTGAGGCCTCCAGATGACGCAAGGAAACCCCAGGAGGAACCCGAGAGGGCCCCAAGACAGTCCAAGAGGCATCCAGGACGCTGCCAAAAGCGCCCCAAGATGGCCCCAATTAGTGTTTGTTCTGCCTCCGAGAGGGGGGGGGGGGGGGCGAGGGGGCGAATTCAGACCCCCTCGCCCCGCTCACCCCCTGGCTTCTCGCTTTACCTCGCCAAACCCTCGCTGCTCCCCCTGCTCCTCCTTCGTTGAGTGTGATCGAGGCTGCTCCTCTCTCCCAGCAGGAGACGGAGCAGGGAGAAGTGGGAAGGGCGGCATGAGGGAGCCAGGTGCAGGTGAGGGAGGAGGTACAAGAAGAAAAATGAGAACGGGAGGAGGGAGAAGGGGGAAGGGACAGGAAGAGGGAGGAGGAGTGAGGAGGAGGGATCAGGAAGTGGGAGGACGAGGCTCTACCCGTGCAAGAGGCTGGCGCGCGCCTGCTTGCTGATGTCGAGCAGCTGCAGCGTGTCTTCCTTCCCCCAATCAATACACTGCCTCCTCCTCATCCTGCTCCTGCCCCTCATTCTTCTCCTCACCTTATCCATGGAAAAACGGAACATCCAATTAAGCAGCAACTAGTGACCCGGCGTCCACTCCGCATGAAAACCCCGAACCAACCCAAAACCGAGCACGGGGTACAACTGGCCCGCAGCCCGAACTGGCCGAACCGAACCTGTCCTCGACGCGAGGCAGAGAGAACCGAACAGGTACAGCCAAGGCCTCCGCTCTGCCCTCGAACTGGAATCTCGAAACCGGACCGGCAACATCTCGAGATCGGATGTTTCAACCCGATAGGACAAGAACGGGAAGCACCGATGTTGTCAATGTGGCTCGTGGGGAGAAAAAATGAAAAGGATGGAGGCGACGGCAAGGCGGCGGTTGTCGAGGATGGCGGCGTGGATGACGGATCGGTGACATTCGAAAGCGGATCTGTTAAACAGCAATCGTCTGAATCGAATCAGATTGGAACCGAAAACAATGGATCGGACCAGAGACAGAACGTGCGCGCGCAAATCTAAACCAGCATCGAAATCGATGCCTCCGCCTGCTCCTCCTCCTCCTCCTCCTCCTCCTCCTCCTTCCGACCCCCCCATGCGCCCGCGACCAGTTGTTACTGTGGACCGTTGGGTGTGAGTGTGGCCCGTTGGGTGTTAGTGTGGCCCGTCGAGCGGCCGGATGGGAGTTACTGTGGCCCGCGCAGGACGCTCAATGAAAAGTAAGATGTAAAGGTATGTCATGTTAGATCTGGAGAAATTCGCAACCCTTACGGGAATGTACTCCCGCGCAGGCAAAAGTGGCCACAGTAACTTTCACCTGGAACCAACGTGGTGGTGGTAGTAGTACTAGTAGTAGTAGTAGTAGTAGTAGTAGTAGTAGTAGTAGTAGTAGTAGTAGTAGTAGTAGTAGTAGTAGTAGTAGTAGTAGTAGTAGTAGTAGTAGTAGTAGTAGTAGTAGTAGTAGTAGTAGTAGTAGTAGTAGTAGTAGTAGTAGTAGTAGTAGTAGTAGTAGTAGTAGTAGTAGTAGTAGTAGTAGTAGTAGTAGTAGTAGTAGTAGTAGTAGTAGTAGTAGTAGTAGTAGTAGTAGTAGTAGTAGTAGTAGTAGTAGTAGTAGTAGTAGTAGTAGTAGTAGTAGTAGTAGTAGTAGTAGTAGTAGTAGTAGCTCTAGGAACTACTGGGCTAGGGAGTACTAGTCCTAGGGATTATTACCCCTAGGGAGCATTAGTCCTAGGGATTCTAGTCCAAGGGGCAACGGAGCACTAGTCCTTGAGCTCATTTGTCCTAAGGAGCACTTGTCCTAGGGAGTACATGTCCTAGGGAATTCTAGCCCTAGGGATTACCGATGCTAGGGATTACTAGACCTGGGGAGTGCTCGTCCTACGGATTTCTACTCATCGGGATTACTAGTCCTAAAGATTACTAGGCCCAGGGGTTACTACAAGTTCCTGGGTTGTCTAGGACAAACAACAAGCAAAGCAGCAGCGATCAAACAACAACAACAACAACAACAACAACAACAACAACAACAACAACAACAATCACTTTACCCGAACGCTCAGTGTTCTCACCAGTGCCAGGGTTTTCATGCGACGCCAGCCAATACCCCCACTTTGTGGGGGGGCAGTGCAAGCTCTACCAAATATCCACACGACTCTTCGCCACCACCCACACCCAGCTTCCCGCCCTATGACGTTCGGACACTTCACTTCGTGGCATGCGGACGACCGTGGCTACTATTCAGGGCCCCGCGGCCGACGACGACGGCGTGCGCGCGCGAAGAAAAAACGAATGTGTCCCGCATGGTATTATTTGACAGGGATGATGGCCCTGGCAGGTGCGCAACCGTTGTCGCAGAAGTTCGAAAAAGTTGCTCGCAAAAGCCCGTTTGACAGAAATGTTTAAAAAGTGTTGGGTTTCCTACGAATCCGCAAGAGCGCGCGGGATGAGATTTTGACATTTTTTTGTTGAAAAACCATTGGTTTTTTGATGTTTTTATGTTAAAATCGCTCCGAACACTAAGCTTTTGGAAGGATTTCGTCTTGCGCGCGCGAATGTCCACTTTACCTTATTTTTTGCAAGGGATTCTTGAAATTTGATTATATTAGAACAAGAAATGTCATTTTATAGTGTTTTTTGCAAGGGAAAGCGGATTACAACAAAACAACCGGATCTTGATCACATCGAATTACCTGAGGCTTCCTCACGAAAGTGATGAAAATGTAGCTGCGGCCTAGGCGGCGCAGGGGGGCCGTGCACCAGGGGCCCCAACAATAATTATTCTTTAGAATTAATAATGTTCAACAACAACAACAACAACAACAACACCAACAACCACAACAATACCAACCAACACTAACAAACAAACGAACCAACAACAACAGCTCAACACCAGCACGACAACATATATGCGCATACATATACGCATACATAATTGCATGGGTCTGGTAGTAGTAGTAGTACCAGTAGTAATATTACTAGTAGTAGTAGTAGTAGTAGTAGTAGTAGTAGTAGTAGTAGTAGTAGTAGTAGTAGTAGTAGCAGTAGCAGTAGTAGTAGTAGTAGTAGTAGTAGTAGTAGTAGTAGTAGTACTAGTAGTACTAGTAGTAGTAGCAGTAGTAGTAGTAGTACTAGTCGTAGTAGAAACTAGTTGTCGTAATCGTAGTCGTGGTAATAGTAGTAGCAGTGATGGTAACAGTACTAGTCGTAGTCGTGGTAGTAGTAGTAGCAGTAGTGATAGTAGTGGCAGTCATAATACTAGTAGTCGTCGGAGCCGTCGTAGTAGTAGTAGTAGTAGTAGTAGTAGTAGAAGCCGTAGTAATAGAAGCAATAATACTAATAGTAGTCGTCGGAGTAGTGGTAGAAATAAGAATAGAAATGATAATAACAGTAGTAGTAGCAGTATTAACAGTAGTAGTAGTAGCAGTAGTAGTAAAAGAAATGATTTGGCTTTGTCTTGGGGGTCTGCGCTATTGGGGGGGTAGTTGAGGGGCTGGCTCACGAGCAATCTTGTATTTCGCTTCCACGGCCTGCCGCACGCAGCGTTTGCCGCAATTGATTGGCATCTCGGCCCAGCTACCACTCATTATTATCAGAGGACATTCGCAAATCGCAAACCGCCAATAACCGATGAATGGACGACTGAGGTAGCGGGCTTACGTTCAAAGCAAGCGCACTCACATAACGGCTTGCCAGGGAACTTCGGGACTGCGCACGCGCGGCAATAGGCGTGCGAATTTCCATGCGTTGTTCGTGCGCCAACTCGTACACCGACCCCCCCATCGCTTTTCACATTGATGTTGCTTCCCATGCGTTGCCCATGCTCCCGGGCGCATCGGGGCATCTGGGGCGCGATCGGAATCGCGCTGGCGCGTCGTCGGGGCGACTTGAGGCGACCCCTGGAGCCGCCTGAGGTCATATCGGCCGTTTTTGGAGACGTCTTGGGCGCATCGGACATCTGCGCGGCCCGAGCCCCCTAGCGACACGAGCAGCTATACTTGCACAAGACCACATGCTGCGACGCAAGCGAAACTCCGACATGTAAGGACTAGATGCAGGCATGCCATCAAATCCAGAACACACGCATGCCCCCGCTGCAAGATGCCAACATGCAATGCAAATGCATACTGCGTGAAAGCGAACGCTACGCACATGCACATCCCCCCCCCTCCCCCAAGTCAGACCGGATATCCTGGGAGAACGATTCCTCGGCCACGCGCGAACGCAGCGCACGTTCACAAACTGCGCAGGTTGCAAGACCTGGCGGTGCCTGTCAGCGCCGCCCAGCTGGCCAACAAAGGAACGGGCTGGTGCAACGCTTGCGCGCGTCATTTTTCCAGGAACGCCACTCGCAACCGAGCGGGCTTGTGGGGGCGCGCAACAATACCCTGCAATGAGCTTGCCTGACGCCTTATGTGCCCTGGTTGACCACGAGCAGTATAGCAGAGTTGGGTTTGGAAGCCATACTACGAGGACGATACAAGGCATGGCTTGGCTGGAATGCACTAGGCCTGGGCCTGACCCCAACAAGAGCGCTCGCGCATGGCCAGCATGGAGCAGGCCTCAATCGCGAGCCACGCAGCGACCGAAGGTCTTCACCGTCCACGTCGTGGTTGCTCAGCAAAAAGCGCTGTCGCCATTCGCGCCGCCGCGCACATTTGCTCACCTCGCGGGGTAGCGCGCGCAACACGTGACTCCATTTATCTCGGCGTCGGCCGAGCGAAGTGCTGCGAATTGCTATGCGCAGCCCTCCGTCCTCGCGCGGAGCGCGAGCGATTTTTTCTAACTGCAACAACGAAGCTGCTTGCACGCCGAGCGCCTTTTTCTCCTGTATCCAACAGCCAGCCAGGGGCTCCTTGAATGGGCGGCAGCCGAACGTTTGTGGCGACGTGCAATCCGCTGCCCTGTCTCGCGAGGAGCGCGAAGCTTGTTCTCGGCGTCAGCCGATTTTTTCGGCGAGCATCACTTGCCAGCGACCCCCCCTTCCCTTCGCGCGGCCGAGCGATTCCTGCCAATTGGAACTAGTCTTATCTCGCGCGGAGCGCGAGATGCTCCTACAAGGGTGCCATTTGGCTCGGTGCCAGACCATGTATTTTGTGAACTCCAACAACCAAGGGGGCCATGGCGCAAGTCTGGAAAGCGCTGGGCCAACCTAGGCGCAAGGGTCTGCGAGGACCCGGGGCCGGCAAATCGCACGGTTTCCCGCAGGTCGCACCGGGCCCGCGAACCCGACAAGCCACGTGGGCCCCACAGGCCCCACAGGTCGCACAAGCCTCACGGGACCTATACGTCGCACAAGCCCCACGGTTCCCACATGTCGCACAAGACCCACGGGCCCCCACTTCTCCCACAAGCCCCGCAGACCGCGGCGCGCGTGGGTCGGGGGCCCAGGCGCGCGCGGCCAGGCACCCGTGGCGCGCGAGGCTCGGGGCCTGCGACGCTCTGAACCGACCGAAGCTCAAGGGGCTCGCGGAGCTCGG